AAAAAAAAAAAAAAAAAAAAAAAAAAGACAAATAATAACCTAGGGATAATATTTGCAATTAATATCAGAAAGGGCTAATCTCCTTGATTTCAGAAAGCTCTCTCAGTAAATAAGACCAAAAATCCAACAGAAAAAAAGGAGCAAAGGACATAAAGAATTAATAAAAAAGAAATAAGGTGGCCCTTACATAATCAGAAAGGGCTAATCTCCTTGATTTCAGAAAGCTCTCTCAGTAAATAAGACCAAAAATCCAACAGAAAAAAAGGAGCAAAGGACATAAAGAATTAATAAAAAAGAAATAAGGTGGCCCTTACATATGTGAAAAGATGGTCAAATGCAAATTAATAGTACATAAGGAAACTATTTCTTGTAAATCTGATTGACAAAAATCTAGAGTTTGACACCTCTAGTGGCAAAGGTATACGGAAACAGGTAGTCTCATTTACTGATGCAAAATATTTACAGTCTCAGTGGAGGGCAATCTGGCAGTAACAATCAAAATTACAAATATATCTGCTTTTGACCCATCAATCTCACCTCCTGGAATCTGTCTTAAAAATACAAATATATGAATGATGTTCTGAAATGGAAAATAATTAAAAACAGCCCTAGTCTTCCCTGGTGGTGCAGTGGTTGAGAGTCCGCCTGCTGATGCAGGGCACACGGGTTTGTGCCCCGGTCTGGGAAGATCCCACATGCCACGGAGCGGCTGGGCCCATGAGCCATGGCCGCTGAGCCTGTGCGTCCGGAGCCTGTGCTCCGCAACGGAAGAGGCCACAACAGTGAGAGGCCCGCGTACCGCAAAAAAAACACAACAGCCCTGGTATACACCTAAAGATGACTTTAAAAATACATCATCTCGACGTATCCCCACAATGGTAGATGCAGCTGAAAATAATGACAAAACTATGTACTGATCTGGAAAGACCCAAGGATCCTTGGAGGAATGGCTGATTCCAGGTATAGAGGAGGAAATACAGGATGAATCTGGAAAATTCTGCTGTGTCAGAAAGCAAGAAAGCTATCAAAGACTATGAATTATCAACAGGACAATGTGATTTTCCACATAAGAATTCCACCTAATGTAAAAGGAATAACAGAATTAGAAAAAATAGCAGTTGGTAATCCCTAGTGAAATAAATGACTCAGGTAACAATGATCAACGAATGGAATATCAGTGACTGAAAGACTGACTGGGAAATTTACAATGGAGAGATCAGGCCTACTGGTCTCTGAACATACTGATCAATCTTAGTACCACTAAAGTTGGGACCACTATATACTATATGCCTCCTAATATGATACAATACAGAGCATTTATGAATCAGAATTGAATCAAGCTTACAGGGCCAACTTTCATTTTCAGGAAATATAGGGGATAGAGGAAGAAGACAATGACACCACAAGAAAACAAAAGACAAATCCAGATTTTTGGATATTCTACAGGAAAAGTGAAAGTTTCTACAACAAGTCAAGGACATAAAAAAGGAAAAAACAAAACGAAACTAGAGGGAAGGAAATGGGACTACTACATTTTTAAAAGGCATAATAGCCAAATGCGATGTGTGGTTAGATCCTGATTAGAACCAACCAACTATAGAAAGATATATTTGAGACTATCAGGGAAATCTGATTATGGACAGGGATTAGAAACTACAAATAAATGATTAAATTTTTTACATATGATAGTGGCATTGTGACTGTGTAAGAAAACATCCATATTTTTAGAAGTGCACACTGTAGTAGGGAAAAAATAACATGCTGTATGGGATTTGATTTAAAATTACTACAGTAGAGGAAGAAATGTACATAGTTTAAGCAAAGGCAGAAAAATCCTGACAATCTGGATATTGGCTACATAGGCAGCAGTTTATCATACTAGTCTCTCTACTTTTATATATACTTGAAAATATTCTTAAAAAAAAAAAACACCTAAAAATGAGAATGCAATTAGCACCACATTAAACATCAGTAGTAGGCACAATCTAAGGGTCACCAAGACCAACAGACTTCTCTTCCTTTAAAATATGTATTTCATAGTGAAATACTGACTTATATATAATTGTTAAGGACAAAAATGAGTTATAATTGCTCAGATGACCATGTCAAAGCTTTTACATTTGCTTTCATTTGCTTACTTCATGTTTAGTAGCATTCCAGGACAAGTTCTATATAAAGGATTTCTAAATGAAATGTAATTTAAAAAATAAAGGTTTTTCCAGTTTGTCTTAATATATGTCCAATATTAATTCAAGACACCAGTACATATAATTACATATAAAATGTACATATATACAGACACACACACACAGGCCATATAGAAATCAACTACCCAACACAGAATATGGTTTTAATTCCCTTACCATCAATATTAAGCATCATTTTCCACATGGCAGGCCGAACAGACTGATGGAATCCAAACCAAACTTCCCTGCCCCCTCCCAGAGGGTGGTCATATCCTTCTGGAGCTGAGAAAAAGGAACGCCCCACAGGCGTATATCTACAAAAATTAAAATGGCATGTTCAATATTTTCCTTCCCATTGAGTATTTAAATCTGCAGAACAGGTGAGTCTAGAGGATATAATCTTAACTTATCATAATAATGCTTCTCATTATGAATATATGAAACTAAACATTTTCAAAATTTGTGAAATCAAAAAGCAACCACTCAAAAGGAAAAAACACCATCCCTCACTGAAATTCTCTATACTTAAAACTAATGTTTGAATAAGATTAAATTTTATTTAAAATAGTTTTAAAAAATAGTTCCAACCTTAGAAAATGCTAAAGAATAAATAATTATTGATCAAAAAGCTACTTCTATAAATGTTGTTTGTAGGTCATAATATTTTTCTTTAAAGACACACTGATCCTATACATATACACATAGATACACATATACACATGTGAGATGCTAGTGTGATTAAAAAAGTAACAATTTCAACACACTTTGATACTGTTATACAAACAATGAAATTACCTTTAAAACACGGTGATTTAACTAAAATACTAAAACTGATAATGTATCAGTTAGTCAAGATTTATAGCTCCTAAGAAAAAGGGTTAGACATTTTTTTCTGAAAAAAAATAGCTATGCTAATGATGTGCATTTACTTTCACAAGTCATATGTAACTTACTTCTCTCAATGAATTTGTATGCATGCTATTCTTCAACTGAGATAATCAAAATATACAACATCTGAAGGTTAACCAAAGGAATACTGCACAACCTACTTTTGGGAAGAAAGCTTTCACACTTAAAATCTAAAGAGGAAAAAAAAGCCAGAAGCACCCACTTCATGGAGGGCAGATGTCGTAGCACCACATCAACGGCGTGGACAGGATTAGTGCTGATTGGCTTGTCTAATTCCAGTGGCTCTGGCAAGGTCCGTCCTGTCAGTACTTCATGTAGTAGGTGCCAACTCACCCGAGAGACAAATTTGATTGACACCTTGAAAGGTCGATCTTTTCCACCTTCCCCAGGTAAAGTAACATCTAAATCTACCTGTTGATGGGAAAAGAGTCAACTGGTAAAAGTTTTAAAAGATAAATACAATAATTTTTAACTGATACAAATATTTAAGAGAAAACAAGGCAAATATAAAAAAAAACAATCTCAATGTGAAATCGATAGACTAAAATGTAAATAAGTTATTTATGCCAGCATTCTTTGTCACTGCAAAATATGGAAATTACCTAAATGACCATTTAGGCAGATATAAAAAAAAAAAGGTAACGGAACTGCTATGGAATAATTTCCAAGCTACACTGTTATGTGAAAAAAAGCAAGTACAAAAGATTACAAATAGTATGCCATATTTTATGTGAGAAAGGGGGAAATGGAAAAATATTCATATATCTGCATATTTTTGTAAAAAGAAACACAGAAAGCATGAATCAGAAACAACAAAAAAAAAGGGGGCTACTTTCAAAGGATATGAAAGAACAGACTAGAAGAAATAAAGGAGGGATTAACAATTCTGAGTATATTTTTCAGCTTAGTTTTGACTTTTGGAAGCATGTTAAATTAAGTTCTATAATATTAAAAAAAAATAAGATCAACAAGGATGGAGAGAAAAAACTAAAACTGAATAAATACAAAATCAAATGAAACCAAATGCATTTCAAACAAATAACATAGCCAGATTGAAAGAATATTAAAAAAAAAAGAAAGAAAGAAAGAAAGAAAACACTAATTCAGGTAACTCCTGAACATAATATATTCACTATACTCTTGGTTACAGGTGTGGAGGAGGGGTGGGTGGGAAAGAACTGCATACAAAATAAAACCTTAAACTCTTACTACTATGTTTGTTTTCTGTAGTGATATAGTGTAGTAATTCAGAAACTATTTTATATGTACTGTAGGACTGAACAAATAAGTAAAAGTGGTAATATTTTGGAGAGTCAGGGGTTTAAAGGAGAAGCAAGACACAAATATGCAATGTAGGGAGTAAAGGAAGAATCCTTTTGGGATAGACTAGAACTGGAAGAATCAATTTGAATTCATGATTTCCAATAAACATACTGTATGATATTGTATACAATAAGTGGTACTTGCAGGATACATATGTTAGGTTTATTATATGAATGTAATATTTATTTATTATCTGTTTTGTTTGTCTATTTACTTATTTATGTATTTATATTTTCTATCTCTGTCCATTGAAAGGGCTTATAAGCACATATACCCCAGCAGCAATGAGCACATTCAGTACCCAGATTTTGGTTTCTAAATTGTATTCCCTAACTAAAAGAAACCAGTGTACCTTTGAGATATGTCTGGTTGCAGGACTACAGCAGGGAAAACACAAGATGAACCTGGAACATCTTGTGGCCAAAAGTAAGGAAATACTCAAAAAAAAAAAAAGATGTGTCATGACAAAAGCACACAGGAACCAACTTAAAGGGGCTGCCACAGGCAAAATCTGGGACAATTTGGGCAAATAAATAAGGATAAAGAACAAGAAGAGAAGAAAATGCACTCCCTTACAGTACAATAACAATGATTAATGTAGAAGGAATGACAGAATTAGAAAATCACCATTACTACATAATAATAAACCTTCCAAGCAAGAATCATCAGTTACTAAAAAAGTCTAAAGAGAAATGGGATTCTTAAAAGTATCTCCCTTGTAAAAATTAAAAACTTTGGTGCATCAAAGGACACAATCAACATAGTGAAAAGGCAACCTATGGAATGTGAGAAAATATTCCAAAACATATATCCCATGAGAATACAGAATAAAGAATTCCTAAAACTCAACAACAACAAAATCAAATAACCCAATTAAAAAATGGGCAAAGGAGCTGAATACACATTTCTCCAAAGAAGATACACAAAAGGCCCATAAGCATATGAAAAGATGCTCAACATTATTAGTCATTAGGTAAATAAAAATCAAACCCACAATGAGATATTACCTCACACCCAATAGGATGACAACTATCGAAAATTCAGAAAACAACAAATGTTGGCAAGGGTGTGAAGTATTTGGAACCCTTGTCCACTGTTTGTAGAAACATAAAATGGTACAGTCACTATGGAAAACAGTATGGTGGTTTCCCAAAACACTAAAAATACAATTATCATTTATATGATCCAGCAACTCCACTTCTAGGTATATACACAAGAGAACGGAAAGCAGGCGTTAGAAGAGAGATTTATACACCCATGTTGCATTATTGCATTATTTTCAATAGCCAAAAGGTGTTCATCAGTGGATGAATGGATAAACAAAATGCAGTATATACATCCAATGGACTATTATTCAACCTTAAAAAGGAAAGAAATTGTGACACACGTGACAACATGAATGAACCTTGAGGACATTATGCTAAGTAAAATAATCCTGTCACAAAAGGACAAATACTGCATGGTTCCACTTATACGAGGTCCCTAGAGTAAATCTATGTTCAAATGGGAAAGCAACCAAAGTGTCCATCAACAGATGAATGCATAAGTAAAATGTAGTATATACATATGATGGAATACTATTCAGCCTTAAAAAGGGAGGAAATTCTGACACATGTCACAACATGGATTAACCTTGAGGATACTATGCTAAGTGAAATAAGCCAATCACAAAAGACAAAACACTATGATTCCACTCATATGAGGTAATAAGAGAGGTCAAATTCATAAAGACAGAAGGTAGAATGGTGGTTGCCAGGGCCTGAGGGGAGGGAAGATGGGGAGTTAAGTGTCTAATGTGTACAGAGTTACAGTTTTACAAGACGGAGATGGATGATGGTGATGGTTGTAAATGTACTTTGCCACTGAACCATACCTTAAAAATGGCTCAGATGATAAACTTTATGTTATGTGTATTTTACCACAATTAAAAAAAATACTATCTCCCCACAAAAGAAAGAAGAATAACTTGAAAGGAGAAACTTGGCAGATACTAACTTAACCAAGTGATCGAAATTAACATCACCATTAATGGAACAAATACATATTATGTGCCTCCTGATACGATGCACTATTAAGGAAAGAACACTTACGTAATATTCCTGCCAAAAAAGCTTACTCAGAATCTAACCAAGAGGAAGCACCAGAAAAACACAGAGGGACATCCTACAAAACAACCTGCCTGTAATCTTCAACCATGTTAATGTCATAAAAGAAAAAAAAAAAAGGCTGGGAAATTGTTCCAGAATAAAGAAGACTAAAAAGACGTAACATCTAAATACATTCAGGAACCTGGACTGGATTCTGTACTAAAGGGAAAAAAAAAATGCTAAAGGACATCATTGGAATAAATGACAAAACTGGAATAGGGGCAGATTAGACAAAAATATATCAATGTAAAATTTAGGGAAGTTGCTAACTGTACTATGGTTTTTATCCTTGCTCTTAGGAAAAACACATTAAAGGGCATAATGTATAAAACCTACTCTTGAATGGTCCAGGAAAAAATAAGTATGTATATGTATCTCTATATATAGTTGTCTCTGTAGATACAAAGAAAGTAAAAGAGAAAGGAAAGAGAATGATAAAACAAATGTGGCAAACTTTAAGAACACTGATGAATCTGGGTATACATGAGTTCTCTGCATGATTCTTGCAACTCTTCTTTGAGTTTGAAATTATTTCAAAATAAAAAGTTAAAATAGATAAATGATACATATACAGACTACAATAAAATGGCAATAAGTGCATTTAAAAGACATTGCAAAAGTATAGCTTTCTGATAAAGGAATGCATCTTACCCCTGTAGTTGCCACAGGAAGTGGATTGGCTGTGTAAAGGCTTCTTTTTCCATCATAAACTGGTCTACGGTCCCCAAATATAGTTACTTTAAAATGCTGAACCATTGAGTCAACCACCTCCCTAAAAAAGGGAAAAAATGCATTCATATAATCCTCTGCATGATGAAATACAAAAGTCTTACCTAAAGAAATTTCTTACACTATTTAAAGCTGTCCAAATTCTAAAAGATAATCATACATGGTAAATATTTTGCTTTCAGGACCATGGCTTAGGATACAGAAAGATTGATTTCTGGAAGGGATGATATGAATTTCACAAAAGAGAAGAATGAATCCAGTGAATTACTTAATCATTTTGGGACACAGTTGACCTGCAAAATATTATCCTTATAAACTGATCCAAAATCCCTTTCACCATCTCTAAGCACTACCTGACACATTCACCTCTCTTTATCAAAGAATACGATGCTCTTTCCTTTGTGCTCAAATAGCACCTAGTACATATATCTATTAGAACACTTTCTTCACTGTATTATAATTATTATTATATACTTCACTTCTACTAGACTGTGAGATTTTAAGAGCAATAAACACACCTGTATCCTATACTCCCCCCCATTCCTCTACCCACCCATTCTTCCAATGGTATCTAGCCAGTAAGGATATTTTGAAACCTCCATTTTTTTACCCAGCAAACATTTTTATCCTACATACTTACATGGAATGATATTAAAGCTTTTTTAGACATTTTAAAAAATTTGCAGACTACAGAGAGAATAATACCAAATATCCACAAATCAATATTTATTTTTACGTACACATAATTTGTAAAAACAGTGGAAAGATATCTAGAAGGGTATGTACCAAACAGATACAGTGGTTAGTTACCTCTGGAGAAAGAAGTGAAGAGAAGAATGATTTTTTATTTTGTTTACACTATCTAAATATATTACAATGACAGTACACTCACATAGTACTGGTATAATTTACAATACATTTAAAAGAATGGGAAAAAAATTCAATTCTAGCCCAGTGAAGTAGAAGAGAAAAGAGAGAAAAAAGCATTTTCTGGAACAAAATAATTAAGCTGATTTGATACCCAGAGGAATTTTCCAAATGCTCAAAATTTCTATTTCCCCGCCTTTCAATTTTATTTTGCAAGTATTTCTTGCACCAGTCTTCTACTTTCCATTCCCAATTACCATCATCCTAAATTAAAACCTCATGTCCTAGTACCTGAATTATTTTAAGTTTCTTGTTTTTTATGCCTTTAATTTTTTCTTCTCCGGCCCAACTTATATCCCACTGCCAAATGAGTCTCCAAACCCCACTTTTATTCTCCAGGTACAAAAGCTTAAGTTAATCATGCTCCTCAGTTCATGCCACATTATCATCATTCATCTATATGAGATTCCTCTTCTAACTAATTGATTTCTTTCCTTCCATATTCATTTCTTATTCCCATTCTTCCCAATAAGTTATTTTTTCTAATGTGTTTGATAAACATTCTTCTGTTTGTATATATTCCTAACTTTACCCTCTGCACTAGGTTTTTAAAATCTGTTCACGTTGCTGTGGGACACTTAGTTCCTTGTGATGCAAAGTACTCCACATGCTGTCTACTTACTCTCCCAGCAATACAGACTCAGAGAACAGTCAGCCACCAAAACAATGCTACAATGCAATATCTCCTTCTATGTCCCCTTATGAACTTGTGTGAGAATTAATCTCCGGCTATATATACCCAGGAACAAAACTGTTAGGTCCAAGGGAATTTTATCAACTAAATGATGAAGAACTGCCAAACTGCTCTGCAGAATGGCTGCACTGAACAATCCTCCTGGAGGTTCCTATTTCCCTACAT